ACTTAATTTTCCAATGTCCAGAGTACTTCAGCGTATTTATTTTGGTGATCGTCTACGACAAATTCTACCTCACTAAGGTGTATTTTTTCGGGGATTATGTAGAAGACCCCTTCTTAAAAGCTCCTCTAAGGATAATGCATTTTTACACGCAAGTCGATTTCTTATTTGCCAGCTGGTCCTTATTTCTAGAGACAACTGTATCCCATCTTCGAATTTTAGCGTGCAATTAATTTTGGACTAGTCCAGTGTCCTCAGTTTGAATGGACTGTGCCCCATGAGGCGAGTAGAATGAGGGACCAGTTAGATCGCACAGGAATAGGTGATCCACCGTGTGCCCTATAGCATGGTTGACGCAGGGGCAATGGCCTGAGTGTGAATTAGTTTATAATAATAACCCACTTGCCCAGTACCTCCCACACTCTCGCCCCCCTCACCTATCCGAGCCCGAAATCCAGACTGAGTCAAGAAATCCAATATCGGGCACGGACACACCGACTGACAAAGTTAAACAGCCCCTTTTGGAGTGCCTCGTCGGCGCACGATGGGCCGGGATTTCACACAACGTGATAGAGGAGCGACTTGGATCCCATCTGAGTGGCCGTCCCATAGAAGCCACATAAGTAAGGAGCCATTGCAGGTTAATTCCCCGTCCTGTAAGGATGGCCATGTTATCCTGTCAGTTGGCACCCTTCCAGGCTACGGATTATAGCGCACCGTAGTAGTTTAAAAGCGTGTCAAATTGTTTTCAGTGAGGAATATGCGATGAGTGCCGTGAGGACGAAATCTCCAAAGTCAAGCTCACTCTCTCTTCCCTCTTTCAGGCATCAGTCCACCGTCCGAGCCGGTCGGCCACGAGGATTGCATACAGTGACTGATGGAGTTAAATAGCCCGTCTGCGCGTGACATACATGAACTGGCCCACCGCATCAAGACTTCACGAGAAGCGGATGGGTGTCTCGGATTCCAAATGAGTGAGAATGTTACTAAGGTCAAATTACTGAAGAGCCATTGTGTCTAACTCTCAGTTTATCAGTCAGCCACTCCAAACAAACACACACTGGACTGACTGCGAGGCCCTAGTTGTACCCCTCAGTATGACAGACGGTTTTGGGCCAAATTCCAGGTGGAACCTATTCCCGTTTCCTGCCGAATCAGATAGCATTTGGCACTGCATTGTTTGTCCCTATTTAATGAAACATGTTTGTGGTAGGAAAGACATAGTAAAGTTCCACCAACAAGCTTTTGATCGTATACTTTCCCCTAAAAATACCATCAGGGGCGACTATCGAGATGAAATCGATATTTGGACCAAACGCAGGTCTATGGTTGTCGGAGAAGTGATGTCTGTCGGGCACGGGGAGAACAGTGAACGGTCGACGTAACCCCTGGGAAGGCCAAATTCGAAAAGAGGAGGTTCTCAGATCTTACAAGCTAACGCCCAAAGATCACTAGCGGAAATGCCAGCAGATCACGGGGAAATGAGGTTTCTGCACATCAGCTTGTCTGTTATATACCGGGAGGCCCAATAACACCACTGGCATATTAACCTAGGACC